GGAGTATCTTAATATCTTTATAGTTATTTATCTTAATAATATTTTAATCTTCTTAAATAATCTGGAAATATATAAGGAATATATATATTAAGTCTTAGAAAAACTTAAAGAAGTAAAACTTTTTATAGAACTAGAAAAAAGTTTCTTCTATATATAAGAAATTAACTTTTTAGAATATACTATTTAACTAAATAAAATATAAATAGAATAAAGTAAAATTACTATAGTTAAAGAATAGAAAGTACTAAAATCTATTAAGGAAGTATAAGTCTTTCTTAGATTTACTAATTACTATTAATAATTTATTAAGGACTATAGGAAAATTATTATATCTTTATATAATATTACTAAGAAAGAGATAGAATTCTAATAGAATAATAAGTAATAGTAAGTATTTAATAAAATAAAAAACTAAATACTTTTAGAACCTATACTATAGATATTTAACCCTATATAAGAAGTAGAACTTAAAATAGATATCTTAGACTTTATAATTAGTATATAAATTAGCTAAAGAGATAATAACAGAATATTATACTCTATAGTATTCTTCTTAAAGAAACTATATAGTATAGAACTTAACTACCCTATCTATAATAAGGAATTTATAGCTATTATATATATATTTAAAGAATTCGAATACTACTACTTAGGAATAATATATAAGGTTAAGGTATATACAGACTATAAGAATATTTAGTACTTTACTATAACTTAATAACTAAATAGAAGGTAAATATACTATACTGAATATCTATCTTAGTTTAATTATAAAATTATATATTAAAAAGAATTAGAAAATAGAAGAGTTAATACTCTTAGCTGGAAACCTAAGTATAAGGAAGTAGTTCTAAAAATAAATAGATAACTATTCTTAACTAATAATAAAGAATACTTAGTATAGAAAACCCTAGAAGTTATACTTAAGGAAATAGTATATACTAAAGTCTAAATAGAGACTATCTCTAGCTTAGAGAAACTATAGTAAGATACCAGGATAGTACTTATTAAAGAAATCTATAAGTACTTACTCTTAGAATACTAAAAAGTTAAGAAAATATTTAAAAGGATTAAATAATACTATAACTACCTAGGTCTATAAAAGGATATACAGATTATAGTTTTAGAATATAATACTTATATAAGAATTAAGTCTATATAATATAAACCCTATAGGGAACTTAAATTAGTTTTAGTATTAGAATAACCCTAGTAATTAGTATTCTTTAATTATATTATTAAACTACTATTATTAAAAGAATCTATAACTAAAGTAGAATATAATAGTATTCTAGTAGTTATTAATAGACTTATAAAATATAGATATTTTATTCTGTATAAGGAAGTAAACTCTGCAGAAGACTTTATATACTAGTTTTTATAATATATAGTTAGTTACTATAGATTATCTAATAAAATTATATTAGATAGAGGAATAATATTTACCTCTAAGTTTTAGTAATTACTTATAGTATAAATAGGTACTAAGTATAAGCTCTTAATAGCTTACTACTTATAAAGTAATAGTTAAATAGAATAATTAAATTAAACTCTGGAATAATACCTATAAGTATATATTAACTATAAGTAAGATAATTAGGTATAACTACTACTAATAGTATAGATTGCTTATAATAATTCAGTATAAGAATCTACCTAGTTAATATCTATATATATAAATTATAATTATAAGCTATAATTCTAGAATTAACTAGAACTTAATAGATTAGATATACTAGCTGCTATACTTATAAAGGAAATATTATATTTATTATATATAGAAATAAAAATAGAATTTAAATTTATCTAATAGAGAATAAAAAAATACTATAATAAAAACAGATTAGAAGGATTAATCTTAGAGAAGGGAGATAAAGTCTATCTACTCTATAAAAATATTATAATAATAAGACTAAGTAATAAATTAGACTATAAAAAACTTAGATTATTTAAAGTTCTTAAAAAAAAATTAGATACTAACTATAAACTCTTATTACTGGATATAATATATATCTATCTAACTTTTTATATCTTATTACTTAAAAAAGTATTAAAGGATATACTAGACTAAGATTATTTAATTAAAGTCTATAAAGAAGAATTCGAACTAGAAAAAATTCTAAAAAAGAAAGTTAGAAATAGATAAACCTTTTACTTAGTAAAATAGAAAGAATATACTAATAATAATAATATTTAAAAACCTATTAAGTATTTAAAGGATTATTAGAAGCTTATTTAGTAATATTACTAGGATTAGAAATATCTATTCTAATAAACTAAGAAGGAGATAGTTCTATACCCTTCTGAAGAAATACTAGATTAATTTTAATCTCTGAGAATATAGGCTTAGATAAAGGTATAGCTAGAGATAAAGTCTGTTTTTAGGCTACCTTCTCTATCTCCTTTTACTTAATATACTTTAGTTCCTCTATACTATTAATACTATAAGATACTATCTATATTATCTTATCTAACTATAATTTCTTTTATTAATAAAGATATTAGATTTTTATATCTATATAATAATACTCCTTCTCTATAGTCTCTAGCTCGGACTTCAGTTTATTATACTGATTAGTAATATACCTTAGCTGATCTAGTATAAGGCTCTGAGTATTATAATATAGCTGATTATTTTTAATATAGTAAAAATAATAAGATAAAGAACTCTCTGATCTAAAGTATTTATAACTATAGGATTTATAATAGCTATACTCTAATTATATTACTAAAGGATTTAGTAAGATAATATTAATAAGAGTATTATACTAAAGGGTCTTCTTATAAGAAGTTTTCTATATATAGTTAGATATTATTATAGACTATAAGGGAAATATAGAATTAAATTAGAAAAGACTTACTAATAGGCTATAGAATATAGTCTTAAGGATATAACTAATAGAGAGAGGATTTTATATTATAAATTATATTATTATATATTAAAGTTATATAGACTATCCTACTTTTTTCTAACTAATTACTAGTAGATTATTAGGATTTTATAATAATCCTAATAATCTAGAATAATAGATTATTACTAAGCCTTAATAATCCCCTAGTATATATATATATTTACTTTATTAGATAGAATACTCTCTTAGATAGTTATTAATAATATTATCTATATATCTATTATTACTAGCTCTATAATACTTATATATTAATAGTAACTTATATTATACAGCCTAAGATAATCTGATCGTACTACTTAGAATAATACTCTGATTAGTTTAACCCCGATCTACCCTAGACTTTGTCCAGTATAAGTTAACCTAACTGTTATAATAGATAAGTTTAATATAATAATATATTAATATATTAGCAGATTAATATAATAATATAATAAGGGGATAAAAAATTAATAATATAATAAATTATCTAGAGAAAGAAAATAAGAAAGGAACTATTAGTTACTCCTAGTACTAAGTAATAGATAAGTAAGAAAATAGTTTAACTTAATAAGTTAATAATATATTAAGTTATAAATATATTAGACTTTAGTAGGAACTAGTTAAATATAAATAAACTAATAAAATAAGAGATAAAGGGTCTGGAGAATATAGTAATCAGATTACTAGGTACTTAATAGACTAATATAATAAATATATAAGTAGGTAAAAATATATATCTAATATATAGAAATATATAGGAAGTAGATTAGATCTATTAAAATAAAGAAATAGATAGATAGGAGAAGGAATAGGTAGATAGAATAAAGAAATTAATAATAAGATATCCGGATCTCCTTATAGGTAGTTTTAATAATCTTTCCCAGCTAAACAAAAGATTAACTGTACTATAGAAAAATAAATAGATATTAATCTGATCTATTAGTCTATCTTAGTCTTCCAGACTGATTAGTATAGTTTAATAAGGGCTATACAGTAAAGTAAAGTAAAAAGCAGTAAATTAAATATAATAATAATTATAATTAAAAGCTAGCTGTTAAAAGGTTCCAACTGAAGGTTAGATAAGTATATAATTGGTCGGACCCACCCGACCAATCAATAAGATCGACTATCGATAATCCGATAAGAATATCCACATATTGATCCTATCTTGCTAGTTCTTAAAGAAAAGAATTCCATATCAGCCTTTGTGAAAAGAAAGAGATAAGTTGTCCAACCCGATAGTTGATCAGACGGACCAGGTCTAGACTTTGCCTTAGAATCAGGATCATGCGATTTTCTTCAGCTGCTCTCCCGAGTGGTGTTGTGGCGTTTGGCGGCAGCCTCTGAATATTTGGACGATGTGGGCATGTCACGGGTGAATGGAGCTGAGGGGTGGATATAGTGATAAACTCTATTAACACCTCCCAACATTATATGCCGCTATCAACGCAGCGCCATTGTTAGTGTAGTTTGTGAGAGAGCTGCATACGGTGCTCGGCGATGGGCGGGAACGGCGTCGCCAGATGCCGGGGCGTGGGAAATACACCGCGCGAGAGGCACCACGTTCCGTCGTGTTCTATCAGGGTGCCTATAAATGCTTATTAATAAGTTGGCGGACAATAAATATATAGAGGAGTATAAATGGATCGAAAGTATTCAAATATCAAAATTGATCAGTACGCAAGTAATTAAAACTTATGAGTACATAGACTGGCAAGGGAGGTTGGAGTTCATGCTTTGGGTAAGAGAGAGGTTGGTTTTCAAACGAGCAGTCCTGGTTGATATGGAATTGACTGGCTTACGCCGTATGTTCTCTGCGGTGTGTTCCGGTGTTTCAATTGCTGCTTCCTGGAGTCTGCTCTGCATGATCAAAACACAAAGGAAGATAATGGAGTCAAGGTCCATTACAGAGATTTTACTTGTCCTGAATAAGGGTCACATCATAGCTTGGATAGTCAAGATCAACCTTGAATGTGAGAACAAACAGCTACGATATATATTAAATACCTTCTCAAGAATCACATAAAAAGGCTATCAATGATGTTTACCAAAAGAAAACAAAGTGCCGGCAACCATGTCGACCCAGTCATACATATATATATCATATAGTTAATCCTTTTCGGGGGGGCGACCATTGGCTGCGGCGACAAAGTGACCCCAAGTAATCAGGTCTCTACTACAGTCATCCTGATCAATGGTGCATTCTATCAGCGTCGGACCGTCCACATGAACTATTGCCTTGTCCAATGCCTCGGTGAAATGGTACACGGTGGATACCTCGAAGCTGAGAGCATGCCCTCCACCTTCCTCGCCGTTGAATGCCTGGACAAGAGAAGCATACTTCCAGTTCTGAATCCGGTTGTACAAACCGTCGTGAATCTCCACTTCGATGGTGTAGCCCTTGTTGTTCATCAAAAGGATGATGATGGGAACCCTCCATCGGACCATTTGGGAAACCTCCTGGGCCGTCATTTGGAAAGCACCATCACCTACCACGATGACCACGCGTCTCTTGGGCTTGGCCAATGTATAGCCGAAAGCTGCCGGTATGGACCATCCTATATGCCCCCACTGCATCTCAATCTCGAATCCAGCGCCGCGAGGGAGGCGGAGATGGATCCCGTTGAACCACGAGTCGCCCGTGTCGACAAACACCGTGGTTTCAGGGGACACCAGCTTTTGTGACCGGCGAGCAATCTCCTTTCGAGTCAGTGGATCTAGTCCGCGAGAGGCGCGTTCATATGGTGGATCGAGACGTAGTCGATTGTACTCAACCATAGTGGCGGGATTCCAGGGCGCCGTCTCTGAAAGCCTGGCCAGGAAGTCGTCCAGCCACACCTGACTGTAGAAAGTCGAATCACCAGGTACTGTGACGCTGTTTGTGTCTACCTCCAACTTGTCAACGGTGGGCATGGCAGTCCATCCCACAGTGCTGTAATCAGTAAAGATGGTGCCGATGCAGATGAGGACATCGGCCCAGTTAACAATGGCATCAGCTGCGAGGGTGCTGACTTGTCCCCAGAAGATGCCCGCAAATTGGGGATGGTCCTCGGGGAAACGGCCCTTGGCCGCTGGCTGGGGGACAACAGCACATCCCATTGCCTCAGCGAGTTTGATCACGGCCAACCTCGCGATCTTTCCTCGCACCTTGGGCCCAACAAGGATGACGGGCTTCTTTGAAGTTCCAAGGAACTCAACGGCCTTGGCCACGGAAACCTCCAGGGAGACGGCGTCACTGGACGGCCGCCCAGTGATGGCGCTGATCGGCCCGGGTCTCAGGCACTCCTCGCCGGCAATGTTGGTGGGAATCTCAATATATGCGGGCTTGGACTCCAGCAGCGCTGTCCGGATCGCACGGTCAATCAGCGCTGGCGCCTGGCCTGGTCTGTTGATGGCCACGGCGCAACAGGTGATCTTCTTGGCCATCTCTAGCTGGTAGGTGAAGCTGTACTCGCCCAACGTGTGGTGTAGTAAGTGGCGACCTGAGTCGTTGGAGTTGGGAGCGCCGCTGATCAGGATGACGGGGAGGTTCTCGGCATACGCACTTCCAACGCCGTTGAAGGCCGCGAAGCCCCCGACGCTGAATGTGACGACGCAGGCGCCCACTCCATTGGCACGAGCGTATCCCTCAGCAGCGAGGGAACAGTTGAGTTCGTTTGTGCAGCCAACCTCGGAGAGAGATGGATGTTGTTGGAGTTTGTCCAGGAGAATGAGATTGTAGTCTCCAGGGACGATGAAGTGATGGGATAAGCCCATGCCCGCGAGCCTCTCAGCGAGGTAATCACCGACTGTGAAAGACATGATGGGTAGTGGTGCTGAACAAATTACAAGTATGACGAGAGTTTGTCTCTCGCTGATCCTGCCCGAGCACCTTCTTTTGGGGGGAGATATCTTTCCTCTAAGCGCAGCCTTAAGAATTCATCATCCCTGCTCCAGCATCTGGGCAGGCCACCGCCACATTCCCATAACCTGCATACCTGAGATACCGGTCCGGCTATCCGTGAGATGGTACGTTGTGATCCATTGAGTAGTGGGTGCGAGTTGAATTAAGTTTTAGGGGAAGCTGAAAGCGCCCTACAGACATGCCACCCCCATACATCGTAATCGAAAGAATTTTTTTTTTTTTTTTTTTTTTTTTTTTTTTTTGGTTGGTTGGTTCATTACGGGAGTATAGCCTCCTTTGATAGAAAACAATTACACTTTCCACGTGTAAGATGATTTGTGGCGTCAATCTTTGATACTATTTTCTTCACCCATGAGGTTTCAGCCGCATGCAATAGACACCACCAATGGGTACCAAGAAGGATATGTTTTTGGAGAAAAACACCCTATGCTGTTTGAGTTCTAGGTAAATACACCAAAATACACCACTAGCAGAGAGCCCTATCAATCGTTCTCAGGCCATGCCGTAAAATCCCGATCCACTCTTCGTTGCGTAATGCCTACTTTCCTCTTAGTGAGGCAACCAAGAAGCCCATTTAGGGTGATTAGCAGAAAGCAAGCGGCCGACACGGAACAGAAGCGAGAACCTGTTTACCCCCAAGCGAGACTGGCATCTCCTCCACTTGTTGAATATCGGAACCCGCCGACCTGGTGTGGGGGGCAAAGCCACGGGTCCAGACCAGTATTCAATGACAGTTTTAGGTTTGCCACTGGCACGATTCTACATGCCACGGACAGTATCAAGCCATGCGGTTATGTCATGCAATCCAAGTATATGCGGAAGATATCACTGCTATATTCAGTGGTTACGAGGATACGCAAAAGGGTGAGGGTATAACTAGCGTGAACAGCATTTTGGTTTTGAGAGCTAACACTGCTGTAAACTCCGCTCAATCATTGAACTGCCGACCCTAAAGAGCCGCCCAAAAACATGGCCAAGACAACCCACCTAGGGCCCTACGTCAGGGACTTTGAAACTCTAGTCCGCAGTGATGGTGCCATAGTAGGTGGCAAGAACGCTTCTCTCGGGGAGATGATCACCGCGCTGCGCGGACAAGGTATCCCTGTCCCAAAAGGGTTTGCGACAACCTCATTCGCATACTGGAAGTATGTCGATGCCAACGACATTCGTGGCAAAATGGCAGCACTTGTTGCTGACTGGCAGCTTGGCAAGTCAAGTCTGGGTGAAACAGGCCAAGCAGTTCGCAAGCTGTTCCTCCGCGGGTCTTGGCCTAATGACATCCTCCATGCCATACAGGAGAGCTACTTTGACCTCTCCTTGGCAGCGGGGCGTCAGGACCCCAGTGTCGCTGTGCGTTCCAGCGCCACTGCAGAAGATCTTCCAGACGCGAGCTTCGCAGGCCAACAGGAGACGTATCTGAATATCTCAGGCTTCGAAGATGTCCTGAATGCCTGCCGACGATGCTACGCCTCCCTCTTTACAGATCGGGCGCTCAGCTACCGCCAAGCCAAAGGTTTTGACCACACAAGTATTGCGCTCTCAGTTGGGATACAGCTCATGGTTCGGTCGGACATTGGAGGCTCAGGAGTCATGTTCTCTATCGACACGGAAAGCGGCTTTGACAAAGTCGTGCTCATTAACGCTGCCTGGGGACTTGGTGAAAACGTAGTCCAGGGAACCGTGAATCCCGATGAGTACCAGGTGTTCAAGCCACTCTTGTCGAATGACAAACTTGTCCCCATTTTGAAGAAGAAGCGTGGTGACAAGGACGTCAAGATGGTTTACGGGGACCGGCATGAACCCACCCGCAATGTTCCAACGTCCAAGGCAGAGCAAGCAAAGTATGTGCTGGATGACGGCGAGATTGTCCAGTTGGCTCGTTGGGCGGTTACCATCGAATCCCACTACGGCTGCCCCATGGATATGGAATGGGCCAAGGATGGTTTCACTGGCCAGCTGTTCATTGTCCAGGCCCGACCAGAAACGGTCCATTCACGTCGCGACGCCGCGCATTTCAAGACTTACGAAGTCGGTCATAAAGGAAGACTTCTTGCGACTGGTCTTTCCATTGGGGACGCGGCAATATCCGGGAGGGTTTGCCTTATACACAGTCCAAAAGATATTGACCAGTTCATCGATAACTCGATCCTCGTAACGAGGGCTACTGACCCGGACTGGGTTCCTCTGATGAAGCGTGCTGCAGCTATCGTTTCGGACCATGGTGGCCGCACCTCACATGCTGCTATCGTGAGCCGTGAGCTGGGTATCCCCGCCGTCGTGGGCACCGGCAACGGCACATATCACCTGCATACCGGGCAAGATGTGACAGTTTCCTGTGCCGAAGGTGATAACGGTTTTGTCTACGAGGGAATCTCCGATATTTCCACACAGACAATCGATCTCAAGAGCCTCCCTCGGATTCACACCAAGGTCATGCTCAACCTGGCCAACCCCGAGGCTGCCTACCGATGGTGGAGACTCCCGGCCGACGGCATCGGCCTTGCCCGCATGGAGTTTGTTGTGACCAACGCTATCCAGGTCCATCCCATGGCGCTTGTGCACCCTGAACGGATCAAGGATGAAGCGGTCAGAAACCAGGTGGCAACCATTGCGTCTGCGTACGACCACAAGCCCGACTACTTCGTCGACAAGCTGGCGCATGGCCTCGCGGCTCTCTGCGCCACCGTCTATCCCAAACCCGCCATTATCCGCATGAGCGACTTCAAGACAAACGAATATGCGGGGCTCATTGGCGGTTCGGATTTTGAGCCCAGCGAGGAGAACCCCATGCTGGGATTCCGTGGAGCCTCGCGTTACTACTCCCCACTCTATGAGGAGGGATTTGCTCTCGAGTGCCGGGCAGTGAAGCGTCTGCGTGAAGAGATCGGCCTCATGAATGCCATTGTCATGATTCCATTTTGCCGCAGAGTCAGCGAGGCCAAGAAGGTCCTCGGGGTCATGGCCAAGCACGGGCTCAAGCGTGGCGAGAACGGGCTCCAAGTCTACGTCATGTGTGAGATCCCATCCAACGTCATCCTTGCCGCCGAGTTCACCGAGTTCTTCGACGGCTTCTCGATCGGCTCCAACGACCTCACCCAACTGACACTGGGCGTGGATCGTGATTCTGGCGAGCTGGCTGACCTGTTTGATGAACAAGACGAGGCCGTGAAGCGGATGATTGAGCAAGTTATCTCGGTAGCCCGCGAAAGGCATTGCAAAATTGGGATTTGTGGTCAAGCACCCAGCGATCATCCCGAGTTCGCCCAGTTTCTTGTCAATACGGGAATTGACTCAATCTCTGTGAGTCCCGATAGCTTTGTGCAGGTTATGAATCATGTGGTGGCTGCCGAGAAGAGCATAAATTGAAATGATTTGGATTGGGAATCTGAAGTTGTCGTTCGTCTATAGTTAGTATAGTATGTAGCTCGGTTTTTTATCAAGAAGAGAATACCCTCGCATCCCACTTGAGGAAGAAGCAACAATGATGGTAGATTCCCCCCTTAACGGACGACAGTACGCAAGAGCAGGTGTTAACTGTGTATGTACTCTTCTCATCATTTCGCGTAAGAACCATCATCTTGCCAAATAATTTACTTTGATCTTTTTTTTTTGTTTTGGGGGGGGGATACATTCGTGACACGACGAGTGGAAATTTTACACAACGAATACGGACTGAGGACACGAAAACCAAAGTCGATTTATACTAAATCAAACTAACATTCCTAAGTAAAACGAAACTAATTCGATCGTAGAAACTCGCTCACTGTAAAATATACTAGTTATCTTCCAGGACGTTCTCCTTGACACTCTCAAGACGCCCCTTCAGCTTCTTGGCCGAGTCGCTAATGTGTGCGTCCTCCGCATCGTCCAGGGCCAGATGGATGGTACCTATCACTCCTTGCCTTCCGATGAGTGCGGGAAGGCTAAAGCAGCAGCCAAACTCGGGCTGGAAATGGCTCAGCGGGCGCACATTTCGCTTGTCCAAGAGTATAGAGCGGCAGGTACTCGCTACAACCGAAGCGATGCCATATGGTGTCGCTCCCTTGACTTGCATGATCATCTGGGCTCTCTCACGGCACTCGTCTGCAATCTTGTCAAAATCAAGGCTCTTGGGCGGCATTGCCTTGCTGAGGGGGCTGCCTCCGAGCCTCGCCATCGACCATGCCGTTACTTGGGATTCACCTTGCACACCCAAGACATAGATATCAATGGAATTCGCAGCAACCTGGTCATCAATCAGTATATTTGATTTCTATTCCATGCTTAATATGTAATTCCCACCTTGAGCTCGCTAGCCACGATACCCCGAAGCCGTATGGACTCAAGAAAGGTCCCAGAGCCCAGGACCTGATGTCTTGGCAGCCCGGACAGCTCTTGAACAATGGATGTAAGGAGGTCCACAGGGTTCGCCACAACTATTATGATGGCATCGGATCTAAAAGGGGACATTTCTTTCATTATGCTCCGTACAATTGAAATGTTCCTATCGGTATAATCCATGCTGGGTTGACCTGGGACATCTGAGCAACTCGAGGATACAACACGGGAGAAGACTGTGGTAGACTTACCGATAAAATGTCTAGATCCAGCCGTGATGACGATGATGTCGCATTGAGCAGCTTCCGCATAGGTCGCTGCCCTCACATTAGTGTCTTCCTTCTGGCTGAAAGCCACGTCGGCGAGGTCCCGGACCTGGCTGTCTCTACGGCTGACATCAGTATCAACCAGAAGTACTTCGTTGGCAATAGATGTAAGGATAATGGCGTTCGCCACAGCCCCCCCGACTTGGCCAACGCCCACGATAGCGATCTTGGAGTTTGTCCTCATCCTGTAGATAGTGTTGTAAAACGATACGATAGTTGAGAAATGTTTGAGTAAAGGGCCGTTATCTCTTCCTTCAGAAACAGGAACACCAATGGCTTCTTAAAGCGCTTTGACCAGAAATATCCCTAAGTAAGCCATTCACATGCTCACAAGTTTAGCGAAGTCATTTTTCCCCCGCCTATCTACCCATATCTAGACCGGATCCAGCCCTCACAGTAGAGTCCATAGAGTTCAGTTTGAAAAACGTGCGTCCATGTGCCGCGCGATCATTCTCTAGCGCAGTTCCCGCCATATCAGACCATGGCCAACAAGGTTCCGTTCTAGACCTCAACCCCTCAGCATGACGGATCCGGCCCACCTCCAACTTGTCAGAAAAGAGCAAGACCTACTATTTCCAATAACACCCAAAAGAAGACATGCTAACATGACATCAGATCGGATTGCTGCAAGTTTTGGCCATCCCTGAAGAGCCAAGAAGGTTTGTAACTAAGCCTTTCGTGGCTTGAGATAGCAAGGAGGGGGTGGCTAAGGAATTACGATGAAAGCTTTCCTATCACACACCTCTGGCTGAAACCGCCATCCCATAGTGGTCTAGCCAGATCACCCCATTCAACGCGGCCGCCTGCATGGTGTGGTATGAGTATCTCTGAGTGGCTTGGACGACGTTGCATGACATCGGAAGCATACTCGCTCGGTCTTGCATTGAAATCCCCTATATTTCCGTTTGTCCGGTGCGTATACTCTAGATACGGCAATGCCTAAGGAACAGATTCGTTACGATGAAACCGGTGTTTCCCATTTTTTCGCATTGTTGTTTATTTGGAATCGAGATGCACAATGCCGAGTGATGAATTGCGAGCCGGCTTTCGCCCCAATTAGAAGAAGGGGAAAAAATGTCAGAATGAAGAGAATTGAACAAGTTATCATTGAGCATCACGAATTTATGTCCCAGTGTCTCAGAATGAGCTAACACCCAGCTGATCGATTCAATGATGTTCCAAATAAAGGTCACCAAAAAGCATCGGAAATTAAAACTTCCAAAAAAAAAAAAGGAAAAACCCATAGTGGCTATGGAAATATTTTACATTCTCATTGAACCACTCATTCCCTTGGTGAACGATCCTCATCCCCCAGGCAGGGGTTTCTAGCCTCATCTCGCGCCAAGCCATTCACCAATCTCCCATTGCAATTGAACGAAGGGTTTGTCACAAATTGATAACCCAAAAAATACCAAGCAGCAGCATTTCCAACGGTAGTGAGTTCATCACTCATTCCATTTCGAGCGGCTACAGACATTCCCTCGTGTAGCCTTTTGTCAGTGAAAAGACACATCAAATGTTCTGCCACAGCCGCCCGGTCCCCTGGTCGAACGATAAATCCGTTCACTCCATCCTGGATTTGAATTGAAGTACCGTCAATCGGCGACGTTATGACGGGACGGCCTGCGTGTAGAGCCTGTGCTACTTTGAACTCATCATCTTCGGAAGAGGGGACCTGCAACACAACATGAGAGTTTCTGACGAGGATGTTCAACACTTGGTCGCGTTCTCCTAGTATCATTATGCTGATGTCTCGCTGGAAGCGCCTATAGACGTGCTCTAGATCCCTCCTAGCATCCTCGTAAACGAGCTTTCTGTCTGGATCGTCTATAGACCTATTACCGCAGCTACAATTGTGAGTATTTACCGTATCACACCGAGATACTGTTGTAGGAGCGAAGGAGGGAACTCACATTACCAGCTGGGGAGGGTTGACGTTTTTGTCACTAATGAGGCAACGAAATTCCGCATAGTAGCTAAAGATTTCGAAGAGCTCCTGCTTAGACTCGAAGCTCGCTGTTGCAAAAATGTATTTGCCTGAATGTTCAGCTGATGTTCCAACTTCTAACATGAAGTAGCAACACTTACGGGAAGGCCATCTGAGCTCCGTCATGTAGAACTTATAACACTGGGAATTGTAGAAATGCGTGTAGAATCCCGTGTCCCACAAACTAAGACTCTTGTTCAAACCATCAAACCTTGCAACATCGTCAGCATGTACCGCATGCGTTAAATTGATCGTTGTTCAAGTAATTACCAGTCGAAAGTTGGTGACAAATACCCAACCTTTTCTCGAGGCGCCTCAGCCGGGAGCGACTCCTGGATGGGATAAGTGAGGAAGGCATCGGCATGCTTGACGTGATCCCAGACAAAGCCCCAAATATCATTCTCGAGAGTGCCCGTTCTTGCGATTAGGTCATTTCTCATTTGAATGTGGGAGCAATACAATACGGGGCGATTTGGTGCGGCTGCCTTTGCCAGGGGTATTAATCCAATCATCTCCAGGTCGTCAATCTGCTACATAAGCCATCTACCACAGTGAATCAGTAGAGGGGGGCAGGTCTTACAATCACAATGTCAGCGCCGCCCTCCTCTGGTGATAGAAGGGGCCCGTCTTGTATAAGCCAGTATCGTTTGGCATTTTCAGTAACCCAGTCGATAATTGAGTTTCTGTCCAGCCATTCCATGCGCTGATTTGGCTCAACGCCTCGGAGTATGTTCTTGATGGTCTTCGTGACGCCAAAGACACCTCGCCGAGGCTTGGGCACTAAAAATGGCGAAGATATGTCAGACATTATATTAAAAGAGAGTAGTCCCACCCGAAGGTTGGAAAGACATACCTTGCCATGTAATGGGTAGGCCAAGCAGAGAGGCAAACCTAATAAGCGCATGACGTGCAATTGGAACTCCACCTCCCTGCGGCGAGGCACTGAAGAAGGCCATCTTGATACGCCTCTCTCGGATCTTGTCTGCAAAAAATATCATCGTTTCCCATGTCCCCGGTGAGCATATTCCCTTGTAGTCTTGTAGTCGAGCTAGATGGGCCAAACCGCTGAGGGAGACCTGCACGACACCATGCCAGCCGACCTGAAGTCTAGGGATAGTAGAGGGCCCAAAGGACCTATTTTATAAGTCCCGCATTAGCATTTGACCCGGTTCAGGCTCTCTATGGCCGAGAAAGGTTATTGGGGCTCACATGATGGACTTGCGGGCCATGGAATCGGCCAGTTCATCAACAGGCTTTGCTACCCAATGCCCGTTGTGTTTAGTCTCGGCGGGAGCTGGAATGACAATGGGAACGATGTCCAGCTCCAGCCATAGACGGGAGCAGATGAGCTTACTGTGATCTAACACGGAACTCAAGACACCGCAGCCGATGAACTTTGCCAACTTTCCACGCTCATATGACTTGAGGTAGTCGATGAGATGATCAGTAAGTCCATCAACACCGGTTTTATCGTTAATTACAACGTCTGCATCATGGAAGTCTCTCAGGTAGAGCGCATCGTATATTGCCAATGCAATGCGGAAGGTGCCATCGCTCTTAATGACGGCTGAGATGCCACAGTATAATTCCTGCGGATAGAGTGAGTCGAGACAAGATAGGTAGAACACTCGACAGCCTGAGGACTTACAGTTAAAGCCAAGTGACAAGGGCAATCTGTCTGAGCAATAAATGCCCCCCGCCTCATATGCAGAGAGTGAAGCGTATGTGGCAGTAGTAGCTGAGCCATCGGTTCGCAGGTGCCGTGCTTTGTGTCCGAAGATAGTATATGAAGTTGACTCACGACCACGGCAGGGCTTTCTCATTTTCAAATGATCATTTAGGCATCAGCGAACAGTCAGTCGCGTGGTGTAAGCCTGGACCGTTGTGTGGCGATCTTCTAGCCGTAAAGTCAAAGGTTGAACTAATCCTGTTTCGATCTGATGCCGCCACTTATACTTCAGTCGTGGACAATACGCAAATATCGTACCACTTTTAGTGATCAGTTGCTTCGGGCACCCAAGTCTTGTTGCGCTAACGAGAACCGTCCCTCGAGTCTAACTTGCCGGGATGTGGCATCTACAACTCAAAGTCTTGGTTCGTCTAGGCGACACTCGATTCGACCATACGCATAACATTTACCTCAATTTCCGAAATCATATCGACCACAGATAAGAGTTGTAGCCCAGAACCAGCACATCACCTGCCTGCAGTAATCATGATTGCTCACAGAGCCACCTCAGAACTAGTGGTCTTTTGCTATGCCCATAGCCATATGAACAAACAATGGCAACCTTTAGCAGCACTGATAGCCACCTTGATAGTGAGGACAGTGCTGGTGCTATACAATTGAATAGATTCTTGAGCTCAAAGTTCAAGCTGGGCGTAGTGTGTGAACAATTATTTCTATCAGTGGTCATATGGTTGCTATGTCATTCTATTGGAGAGCTGCAGGCCACTCATGGGATATTGTGGTGCAGCCATTCGAGTCGAAGCTGACCAAAGACCCTGGCATGAAAGGGTAAGAGGAGCCGAGAGTGAGTCCAATCCGAGAAACGTATATGGATGCAAGTGGTGGACGACGTATTGACCAAGTCACGAAATTCTAATTATGTCCCTGCGCTAAAGTGTTTCACTTGTGCTAGACCTCAACTACCTTTGAACTTATTCGCCTTGCCGGGCTGACCACAGGGCGGCTCACCAAATAGAGCATCCCTGTCTTCAATAAGAATACCCCAAGTATCTTCAGGCGACTCATATGTACTTACCATTTAAAGTAACTCTAGACTTTCCCGCCATCTCTTTCATGGACAGATTGCTTCCACCGTAGTGACTGCCTCGATCGAAACACAACTTCTCTCCTTCTCTGTCCCTTACAATGCAACAGAGAAATGTAGACATTAATTAAATTAATTCTTATTCTAAAAGCGTGTTTGATCTCCTAAATGGTGAATGTGGGGGATGCTGTTATGCAGCGTGTGATCAACACCAGTCTGTAGCTTCTTTCGTCATGTGTGGCTGTCTGGGGTTGTGACATGCACAAACTCCGAGGAGGCTTCTCACGTGATGATTGATGGAATCTCATGGAAATAGACCATACCTTACCGTATTTGTGGCATGGGCCGTGCAGTTAGAAATCAGATAACAAGAATCAGAAAAGGGCAAGAATTGGACATACGAGGTCATTATTGAACACAAAAGCTAGAAAATGCTGCATGAGAGGCCAAAGCCTTACCGAAGTATAGCCTCCATCATACGTTGAAGCACAAAAAGGTTTATGCCAGTCATATGCTGGGGCTTCCATAGCGGTTTCTTACCACTAACACTCGCTGGTCCTTGTTATATGGAATATATGTATGCCCAGCAACAAGCCCAGGACAGCATTAAAACTAGATACAGATTTGGCGGTGATTTGCGAACCCAGTAGATTACTGCTTATATTCGGCTTTCTCTTTTCCAGTCTCTTCGGTTCTTTAGAGGTTTATTACACATCTTTGTAGGTACCTACAGATACTTCCATATACATGAGAATCTTTTTCAGCCATTAATGGCCCCATTCCAGCCTCTAATTATTGCGCTAAAGTGAATTCCCTAGAAATAAAGTGCTGCTGAAGATAGTCACTGAAAAGTACTGCTAAGTACATAACGGTTTGGATAGTGCCATTTTATATTGGTAGGTACATCACAAGTAGTTCAAGGTACGAGGGCAGGTCTTTCAGGTTTCATGGCAAATCACGTGACCGATAAAGAATGCAGATTTTGCTTGTCATTTGCGTAGATGCGTAGATTTTATTTACACATTGATGACAGCGTGAGTCTCATACGGGTGCATCAATGCCTTGCAAATTATACATATAGAGACTAAACTTCGTGCTCTTCACCATCATCTGTAAATCTAGAATTGCCTCCAGAGTGGGATAGAGTGTGGCTCCAGGAACCTACCGCAGTATGGTAATAGCCAGTCGATAAACCCATCAGACTTCTGTAATAGTCGAACCCTCGTATACTTCAGAATAGAGAACACCATCAAGGGTGTACGCAGGCAGAATCTGATCCGGAAGCGTGGATATGCGCCTAAAGGTGTTGTGCCGGAGCAAATCAAACGATTTCACCGGGGCAATCGGCTTTCCAATGCCTAAATCATAATAACTTTCGTCGATAACGACTATGTTTGTTTTTGCCAAGGGGGTCAACCTATGGGAGGGACAGGCACGCTGGCTTCCTAGGAAGTTATAAGAGAGGGTAGCGGTAGGGATGCCAAGGGTAGCGGCGGATTCCTAAAGCCGAGCAAAGGTGGCCAGATAAGTAGAGCTTGAAGCACACGCTTCTACAATTCCTCCTCTTCTACTCTCGGACCAATCAATATACAATCCACATTCACACAATCACCTAAAGCAATCCCGCGACCATCCGTGCCGAATGTATGTGAGCCGGTATTCTCATACAGGATGTCTTCTACAGCCTCTAGAACCGACTGTCGCCGACACCGCCGGATCACCCGATTATCAGACTTATTCCCGACCTCTACCTGTGCATATGAAGCAGTTGGCGGCGCTTCTCTCTAGTTCAGTTTCTATGCGCCTTAATTCTCTTTATTCAATTTCCGCTCAACTGTTTTCTGGGTAGATTTTGGACAGGTTTGGATGACTGCGACGGCTTGCCGACTTTAGCTGGCTATATAGCACCTTTCGCTGGAGTTACAGCCTGTTTTTTAGCACCTTTTACCTGGCGCGCTCGCCTCGTCTAGATTCAGAGCAGCCAGGTCAAAGGTTTCCAGGGACGGCTGAGGCGTTGCTGATGAGCCGACGGACTCTGTGTTTGACTCGATGTCTTCTACTTCGCCGCAGCCCACTAGGCATTAGCAGACGGCCCTGTATCCTATGGCAGTTAGTGTTTTTTTTTTCTCTTCTGTTCTTTCCCCCCTGCTCTTGAGGTTTGAGTGCTAGGGGTTGTGGCAGGATTTGCTCACCAAACATAACATATTACTAGCATCAGAACAATGGCAGGCCCGATAAGGCATAGGCCCAAGACTGCCGGGAGGATGGAATGCTGGCCTTGGTGATGATCACCGTTAGAAAATGAGCGTGGAAGGTAGCCGAGGGCCATGGCTAGCGGTAAAATCGCTTAGGCGAACTGAAATTGGAAGAGAAAAGATCAAGTTTTGAGGATCGCGATAATGTCCGTGTTTAAGAGGTCTTCATTTTCAAACCGTAGGTCAACGGGTTTCGCTCTTAAGAAAATGAGACGAAATCAGTATTGACAGCAAGTATACAATAACTGCTCTCAATGCACCAGATTAGGGACGGGAGTAGAGTCTAGACTCCTCTAGATCATGCTGCGGGCGGATGGATGGAGAAGGGGTGGAGATGGTGACAGATCAAATTCTATTGTTGCTCGTCACATGCTATCCAGAACCATACGGCTCAATGTGGCTCCGTGGCTGGCGTGACACAAACGCACCGGGACGTACGGCATTCGGCGAGAGAACCCGGGGTTTCCCGCGAGACATCGGAAGTTGTACAATGGGGACACGGCCTCAGCGAGATGCCATTACTCACGTAATATTCTTGGCAATTTGCTTCTGCCAACGGTAGAACAACTCGCTAAATCAATCAGTATCACAATAAGCCACCCGGATTGCGATGGCGCTTCCAACAGGAGAAAAGGTGTTGTCACGATAAATAGCTTTATTTATCATTGGTAGAAGGGTTTGCAGTTATTAATTAATTCAAAACGTTTGATACAATAAGTAAAAAAATGGATAGAGCATGCCGCCATCTTACATTCAGTCATTCACTTGCTGGTATCTACCACGTATCGACCGGTGATGGTGTCCATTCTCATCTTGTCATACACCTCCTGCAGCTGGCTAAGGCCAAGTGTTTTGTGAGGCGTCTTAATTTTGCCCAATCTGAAGAATTCCATGGCCTCTGCTATGTCGAGGCGGTTCCCGACGTAGCTGCCCTTGATACTGATCATGCGAACAACAGTGTCGAATACGGGCGCCTGTAGGAGGGCCTGACCTGGCATGCCAACGCACACAACGGTGCCATACGGTCGAACATACTTATATGCCTGGCGGAACGGCTCCTCATGGGTCGCAAGAAGCAGGGCAGCATGGGCCTCAAGCCCGTCTGGGATGGCGGCACGAAGATCTGCGGCGATATCCGACGACTTTTTGTAGTCGATAAAGGCCACAGCGCCCAGTTCTTTGCAGAGTTGGGCCTTGTCTTCTCCAGTATCTACACCAATGCAATTTATTCCCATAGCTGTGCCGTACTGAAGTGCATAGGACCCCAGGCCTCCGCCCGCGCCGACAATGACAATATACTGTCCCGGGCGAGCACAAGTCTCCTTGAGCCCCTTGTACACGGTCAGCCCAGCGCACATGATAGGCGCAGCATCTTCTAAATTGCATTCTGTGGGGATCTTTGTCACATAGGCAGCTTTTGCGACTGCATATTGCTGGAATGTGCCATCGACAGTATACCCAGAGAGAAGCGCGCGGGCACAGAGCTGCTCGGCCCCCTGATGGCAGAAGACACAGCTCTGACATGTGCCGTTGAGCCACTTGATGCCGACATGATCACCGATCTCAGTATCCTTGACCTGTTGACCCTTTGCAACCACAATTCCGGTCCCTTCATGGCCGCCAACGAGTGGCATTTTTCTTTGAAGCGGCCAGTCACCCAGCAGGGCGTGAAGATCAGTGTGACAGACGCCGGAGAACTTGACGTTGACGAGGACCTCGTCGACTTCTGGTTGAGGTACAGAGATCTCCTGAAATTCTATGGCTGCTCGCTGTTAGCCTTGTTCTGCCATGGGGATAGTGCTAGCGAATTGTGGTAGAACAGACGTGCTCCTGGATGATTGATGACTTGAGCCCATTGCTTTGCTGGAATATCCACAGCAGCCATGTTGAGAGGTTGAATGAAGTAGCTGAAAGAAAATAATCACTGAAGTTTTGACTTGAAGGAAGAAAACCGATGGAGCTTCTTGGGGTGGCGTATTGCAGGACCTACTGGGCCACGTATACCTTTAAGTACAACGACAGATCATGTACGATCATCACCTTTTCTCCGGTTTGTTTACGGAGTAAGCCGTAATTCACACGAAAGATTGGAGTGTTCCTTTCTCTGCTGCATTCCAGGTTGGTACCGGGACACATGATTTAGAAACTCTCATGCTTATCATGCCACCCGCTTTTTACTTTCGGAAAACGCCACCCAAAACCAGTTGGTCTAGTCTAGAACGGAAGAAGCGTTACTCATAAAACCTTAACTTGTGAAAATATATTACTACTGTCTTGGCATTCAGAGGAAGGGCTAACTGCCTAAAATCTACTAATTAGCCTATTAATTAATAGATTCTTTTATCTTTCTTTCTATTAAGGCTAAGGACTTATTATAAAGTAATATTAATATATTTAACTTATTATATAATAATTAAGTTTTATATAAGTATAAAATACTAAAAATACTTACTAATATTATAATAAACCTAATATTAATTCTAAAAATAAAACAAATAATATAAATAACTCTTCTATAGATTTATAAGATATACTAGAGTTATCTAATAGATTATATATAGCTGTAGGAGAGCTTGTTATTTAATAATAGTTCAGATTACAAGGTTCTCTTTTAAAGGCTAGGAATTAATAAATTGCTAACAGCGACCTAAGTACTTCTTTTATATAACCCTTAGTTATATCTATATATAATAGTTAGATAACTTATACTGAACAGGGTCTAAGGTAGATTAGAATTAAACTAATTAGAGTATTATTCTAAATAGTATAATTAGATTATTATAAACTATATAATATAAGTTATTATTAATATATAAATATTATAAAGCTAGTAATAATAAATATATAAATAATATTATTAATAACTATTTAAAAAAGTATTCTATCTAGTAAAATAAATATATATATATACTAGAGAATTATTAATATTTAGTAATAATCTATTCTTCTAGATTATTAAAATTATTATAAAATCCTAATAATTTATTTTTCTAAATTATTAGAATTATTATAAAATTCTAATAATCTACTAGTAATTAGTTAGAAAAAGTAGGGAGTAATATATAACTCTAATATATAATAATACAATTTATAACACTATAGCTATCTAACAGGCTTTACCTTAGCACTCTCCTTATAATACCACCTAGCACTGACAGCTACCCTATTAATTTGCTTTAACCTGTTAAGTATCAATGCCTAACTAAACGTTAAAAACTTTCCCCATACCTTTTAAAATTCGGGAATAATATTGGCAAGTCGTAGAGGCTAGAATATTCAACTTTGGTGAGCGGGTATATGTTTCCTCGCTATAGTAGCTCTCCTTGTAACATCATCGCACCAGTCAAAATTAGTATTTCTGAAGATAAACCTTATTATAATTCGTTGTTTAAAGGTGCAATCTGTTCGTTGCCACATTGCCAATAACTATTCATGATTTGAATTCTGAGAGAAGTCAGAGGCTAAGACATTTTGTGTTTCGTCACTGGCTGGCGGCTTATTGTTGTGGCGCAGCGTGGCTTAAAACAACAGTAGGGCAGAGGTCCCAAGGGACCCTTTATGGCCTGGGCTTGCATAAACATGGGTACCCATACGCCAAGACTATGTGCACGCTCACGCGATTACATGTGGTGTTCATCGCGCACTGAAGTCAGAATAACTGACCTAATACGAATACAGGCTGATAACACGCAGGAGGAAAGTTTGGTGGCGTGATTCGATCATGCCATGCGGCTGAAATTAAGCTTCAGTTTTCGGATGTTGCAAATGAGAGAGAGCATCCTAGAAGACAGTTCTAGACTACGCTAGGAGATTTTTTTTCCCCCCATGTTTGCCCTACACTAGCAGAAATTTTGAATTTCTTAGACAAAGTCAAACTTATATAATGAATACTATACCTATATATTGAATTTGACTTATCGCTGTAATTGTAGTGTGGTCCATGATGACGGGTTAGCTGGCAGAAACTTTAAATAATGTTATACTAGCAAGGAGGCTGGCCCCATTTCCCGAGGTAATCTAGATTCTTGGCTAGTCGATGCTGACCTAAATCAAGGTGAATTAGCTGCAGCGCTGGATTTCCTGCTGCCACAAATATGCAAAATCCATCAGCCAGATATTTTAAGCTGAGAAGCATCCGACGTCGCTTCTTTGTTTATCTTTCTTCAACTACCAAAGGCTGAAAAAATGTGTGTCGGTGCCATGTGTATAGCTTGTTGTAAGTGATTTTGACAGACGTCAGTCCTAATGAGGCTTACCTGACCTTTTTGAGGCCGGAGAATTTGGATCCATATTATACATTTATCTATTTTGCCCTAAGGCTAATTCCATGACAATGTAGGGAAAAAAATCCTGGAGGAGCTGTGGAAACCACATACCTCAAGTTCTCTCTGGGGTTCCAGAGGAACAGTGGTGCAGTTGCCAGCCAAAGGTCAACATCAATGGCGAGAAATACCCACCCTCGGCCGCAATTGAGGTACTGGACCCGTCATGGCAGGCATACTTTGCCGGAACTTCGAATGAAAGGAAGAGAAGGCAAGAGTAATATATAATTTGTAAGATACAGAGCAATGAGAAGACTCCGGTAATGAGGGCTTCCGTGGTTGTGGAACGACCAATCAATGCTCTGAGTGCTCAGATTACTAGCCAAGGAGTATAATATATCTGATCTTTTATGAATTATTATATGTCAATATCTGATATTAGTATTAAAACATTGCAGTATGAATGCTTTACTACAAATCTCAATATGAAATCAAAGCTTACAGATCCTTATATATGTTTTATTCGCTAATAACTCATGATGAAGCAGAAGGAGTGAGGGCTGTGATCGAGGATGCATAGGAGGGAATTTTCATACTTGCATTAGGTGAGCCTACCAAGCATAATGCTGCAGCACTACTATTACCTTTTGTCTCGGATAATGTGTTAATATTAATCTCATCAACTAAGGATGGGAGTAACCCGTCAGATCCTTGGGTTTATAACTAATTTACATAAGTCTACCCGAATGCTTCCTTTCCGTTGCGGCATGAATATCGGCAGACCGCGTGCGCAGAGTCGCGTACTAGCGTTACAGCAAGCCCTTGCCAGCGTTATTATTCGCCTAGTTAAGTCCTTTCGCTATTATATTATAGAAGCGTATATAATAAATCCCCTAAGAACAGCTCCTCTGATTATTCTATTATACTAGTTATACTTTATTATCTAGTAATAAGATATTATAAAAGCCTTTATATTATTCTTACTAATTAAACTTATTTATTATACTCAGAACTAGCTATAACTAGCTTAGGTATTATTAATAAGTTCTTAGTTATTAACTATAGAGTAACTATAGTTAGATAGCTTATAATTAAAACCTAGGTTTATAATATCTTTATTTATATATAAGATAATATAATTCTTAAGATTTAAATTCTTTCTATCTACTAGCTATTTATAGCTCTTTTATAAGGAGCTCTATATAGCTTCTATTTATAGTATAATAAGTACTCTGGATAAAGAAAAAAATACTACTACTCTTAGTAATCTAGCTATATTTAGCTTACTTTAATAAATAAAAGAAATCCTAGTAAAAGATTAATTAACTACTATTTAGCTAGTATATATTATCCTATAAAGAAAAGTTCTATTACTCTAATTTCTCTTTACTAATTATATATTTATATTTACTCTTTTCTTAGTTATTTTTATATTTAATTTATTTTATATTTTTTTCTTTATTATAATAGATATTATTCTTTTCTAGTTCTCTTTTTATATTTTTAAATTATATTACTTAGTCTATTAGCTTATAGATTTCTCTAAATTATTCTCTAGCTTATATTTAGAAGGGATCTTTAGATTTATAATTAATTTCCTTAGAGTTATTTTAATAAGTATTTTTTTTAATAGTATTTTAATAGTCTGCTTTAATTTACTATATATAACTAGAGCCTTAGATAGAGTTTTATTAGCTTTATCTAACTCTAACTCTTACTTCTTATTAACTATCTATAATACTTTATATTTAAATAAAGTTTTATCTATCTTATAGTTAATCTTCTTAAGAATATTAAGTCTGAGTTATAAAGTAGTAATATTTATCTCTAGAGTAGTATTTTTCTTCTCTAAAACTATATTAGATTTTTTTAAGTTATTAATATAGCTTATATTCTCTTTAAGCTCTTTAAATATCTTATTATTATATTAATTAACTATTTTATAATTAGAATACTCTATCTTATACTTAAGATCTTTATTAATCTATCTAAAATATATCTTTTATATATAGATAGTTTTTATCTTAGCTTTAGATATATTACTAATAATTATAAGATTTATATAATCTAGAAATACTAATTTAATTATAATTTACCTATTAAAAATATAGAAGTTAATATAATAAAGAGTTAAAATATTAACTTTATATTATGAATTATATTATTATATATTGAAGTTATATAGACTACCCTACTTTTTCTAACTAATTACTAGTAGATTATCAGGATCTTATAATAATCCTAATAATCCAGGATAATAGATTATTACTAAGCCTTAATAATCCCCTAGTATATATATATATTTACTTTATTAGATAGAATACTCTCT